TAACGCACTACTACTAATATTATGTAGACTAGTGGACACGATGCTGATTAACTTGACAACGGAGAAAAATACGGCAAATCAAAAGTGTAAGTATATTTGAACACGTTGTTGCTATCTGTTGTGTGTATGGCAAAATGGTTTCGCAGTGTTTGCCAAGACAGTTTGTATGGACAGCGCGAGAATAAAATCGCCGTTTCACTGGGATTTGTCCGAAGAATAATAACATGGCAGTCCAGCTATATTTGCATTATCAAGTGCCCATTTAACCAAAACGGTTTTGCTCGCTTTTTTCTACCATCGACTGTCTGCGAAATCCATTAAAAGTGCCAAAACAATAGACAACCCGTTCGCGTAGCCGGCGAATGGAAAACAATTATTTTTTCCTTCTCTATTAAAATTACTCGTTCGTAATGAAGCTTAAAATTAAACGCCGTCGATTATTTTCCAATAATTTGTATTTGTTCTGTCTCGGCTCCGTTTGCTTACTTACTCTTTTGTGTGCAATAACGTTACGGTTCGGTCCCGCCGGTGTATCGTGTAAACGCGTGCAATTCGATATAGCCTTCGATTAATCTCCGACGGCAACAATATTATTATCGATGAACGGTTTAATCGATCTTAAAAAGTACTCGGCGCGCAAAAAGTAAAACAAATAGTAATTATAATTGAAACGTCGTATTAAACCAATATGTTTTGTTTATTGTCACCGTCGTCAACTACATGGAAAAAAAAAAAAAAGGAAACGGACGGAAATTTAAGCATTTCCATCGAATAAGATATATTGGTTTTAGTAGGAACTCGATTTTTTTTTTTTTATATGTTCTGTTTACGGTCGGTACGTTTATTACTCGAAGTTTACTACCCTTTTGAGAAGGCGCACCCATAAAAGACAAACAAACTAAACTGCGAACAAAATTCCAGCGGAAAATAAAGACCGTGTGCGAATAATATTTATTAAACGGAAGCTGATGTTGACAATTCGACCAGCGACGTTTAGACCATAAAGTTTTTCCATATATTTATCTCGCGACAATCGAAAATAAACGTGGTTCCTCGTAATGAATGGCTTCAACCGAAAGTCGGTTCGAAAGCAATCGAAAAGAAATTTAAACACTCCAAACGATTGTCCATGGTTAGACGAATTGCATTTTTCCTTTAGGCTATATTATTATATTCTAAATGTAAAATTATTATTGCTTAATTTTATTCTCGGATCCAATCAAATAAGGACCAAACTGTATATTGATATTGTATATATTTAATTAAATATTATCAGTAATAGTGGCTGATAAATTTAAAGATTGTAGATTTTCAATCACTTTGGCAATAGAGATAATAATTATAATTTTGCGATATAAAAAAATTGTTCAAGATACAGTTTTTTTTTTCAAGTACAATTATACTGACCACACGAGTTCGGTTGTTACAAACATAATTTATAATTTATCTTAACGTTAAAAAACCTCACCTTTTCGTCTCCCGAGAGCTCTACTTGAGTTTTCATTTGCTTACCAGGTTCGTAAGAGTATTAACAAAGATTAGGTATATGTCTTACGCCAACACTTAACACACCTATTCGGTTTTAAGGACCTGACCCTAAAATGAAATTGGCACCAGTAACGTTCCTCGGTCCTTTGAAGCCATCGGGGCTTATAGATACAACCCAGTACAAAGTATCTGTCTAGCCTGTCTTATGTGTACAGAAATGTAAGGAATTATAGTGATTTAAACTTAATTTAAAACGAAATGCTTGTTATAATCTTATGAACGTTTATAATAATTTTACATAGTTACAATATTACGAATAAATAAATTTAAATATTATAAACAAATTTATGTTTATCGGTTTTTTTTCCATTATTTTTCATTATAAATGTTAATTAAAACTGTAATCAATTTTCAATCATTTTCAAACAACAATTCGCCAACTGCGCTACTTATGATAATATTAAAATATAAATTGTAATATGATTTAATATTTTCTTCTTCTAAGATATAAAACTCATTTTTAATTGTATGCATTTTATTCGACAATGTTTTCTTGTAAATAAAATTGGATTAACTCATTTTTTGTTTATTTATTGCCTAATTTGCTCACGTAGAATCTGTCTTAACAAACATAAAACATTTTTTTTTAAATAAAATGTATTATGTAAGTAACTTATTTTTTAATAGGTATCTAAATTGCATTATTTGACGTACATACGTTTAAGTTATACATGATTCATATAGACACACCATAAATCTGTATAAGTAAAAAATACTAAGCAAAATTCATTAATGAGTTTAAATACTGCAGCAGACACACATATGTTTGGTCCTGATGAACTGACATGATTTATGGACACTTACAAACAATATCAGTGGATACTTTTAGCATTTTATGTATTGTAAAACATGTTTTTTTTCCATTTCACTCGACAACTGGCTTATGAACTCTTTGCAGAGTCTATTTTCGGAAACGACTCGGTGCGTTGACAGATGTCAAAAACGCTTTTGCTCATTACTAATAGTCTTGTTTTTTTTTTCATCGGATACCTAACGCCTGCAATGATAATGTTCAATTGAATGTCAGTTGTCCATAAAGTTTCATGTAATAAAACGTTTTTTTTTTTTTTACAATCTAAATAAAGTATGTGTAATAGTTACAAGTACTCTTAAGTACGAAAAAAAAAAAATAAACGAAATGCATTTACAACGTCTAAGTGAAAAAATATTATCCTGGAAAACTTCTGGTTTAAGGCTTTTATGAAAAAAAACGCGAACGCTGAGATTGAACTTGTGCAAAACGTTTTTATTTAGCTGACGTTTTGACACATTTGTATATTTAACTTTCTTTAAGGCTCGCATTTGAAATTGTCGGTCATGACCGTTCAATTGCACGTCGACGAGCAAAGTACACACCACCAACTGGTGCAGCACTTACGCAGTACAAACCGCCTCGTCTTAAAAGATAGATGCTAACAAACCACAGGAAACGCTTATGTGGACATTTAACAAACTTTAAATACATTTTATTCATATGTACTCTATCAGATGAAGAAAGTTTTAAGTTTCTGGCTTATAAGTAATCGTCCCAGTAACTGTCCCAGTGGCACAAATCGATAAGGAAAATGAAAAAAAAAAAGTACAAAAGATAACATATAGTTTTAACTAACCTCTTTTGTTTGTAGTCGGGTATAGTCAGAAAATATTCTATTTCGATAATAATTCAGAATTTACTTAACTGTATGCGCATTATCTTATTGGTTTATTATAAATATGTTTTTCGCCTTGAGTTTTGTACACATTTTTTCTCGAATCCAATCCAAATCATGTTAGAATATTATAATATAATCTATGTACACATAGTGTACTTGACGTTGCCGGTTCTCTTCAAAAGGGTGCCTTTCGGTGCGTTCAGACTTTCAATCCGATGAAAATACATAACAATAATATTGCGTGAATGTTTAAATCTGTCACTGCCACATATTTACCTATAATGTACACGATTTCACTATATTTCATACTGTCGTAATTTTTTACTTCAAACCTGCGAACCTATTCCCATTTAATTACGGCATTACCAGATTTCAAATACAAGACGGAATATATGTTCTAATCACCATCTGAATTTATGATGACATCTAGATTTATCTAGAAAAATTTAACAAATCTTTTACCGATTATTCAATAAGACATGTCCAACACACTAAAAACGACCCACATGTAAACTTATTTTCGTATCATTCTGTATGTATGTGTACAATTAATGTTCAACATAAATTCCAGTTAGATTGCAAGTTCTTTACCTCCCTTTCGGTTTTTATGTACTTTCCCTTCGGCATACCGTTGTATTATTGACACCGGCAACGGTTCTTCTACACAGCAAAAGAAACAAAGAAAAATGAATTCGTATAGGTATACTAATGCGAGTCAGACATTGGCCACATCAAATCTGTCAACTGCCGTAATGAGGGTGCAGGAAAAAAAACGAATAGAAAGGAAATAAAATCCATTTTCTAACAGTACAATATATGATAAAAGTACGGCTTTTTTTAAAAATGTATATTTATTTTTACCCCTTGACAGTTTTTACAAAACGGTTTCGATTAATTGGATTTCGTGCCGGCTGCGTCTATCCCTAAGTACAATAAAATATGAAAGTACCGTGGGGCACGTTGCGATACATGATTTAATACAACGTACATATTTAAATATATATTTTTTTACCTTATTTCAATATCATACAGGATGCACATCTGGTATCAGCGTTGCACTAATTGGGCATTGGGGGCCGTTCTTTTCGAAGTTCCTATGTAATGTGTTTTTTTTTTAAATTTGTTTTTACTTCCGTACAATTTTGGGTTAAAATAACTGAGCTTAATTATCGATCTACTATTTACTCTTGTACCCTTTAAAACCGAAATTAATGCTAAAAAAATAGTGAACGATTTTCTAACTTAGAATTACGGCACGCTATAAGTTTTTGAAAAATGTGTGGATACTCTTAACTTTTTTTTTCAAGGTTGTTGTCGGATTTCTAATAAATTGAAAGAATATTTCATGAATAAAAGCCGAACTTTTAAATAGCTATAGCTTTGTTTATAAATACAATTTCATAATTCCTCCAACATACAGAATTATGACAATCTTCAAGTTTTATAACAGGTGTTCTTACTTTATTAAATAAGTATTGGTGTAATAGCCTCTTAAAAATAATTATTGTAAAAAAAATAGAACTACTTGAATGTGCTTTTAATGTTATTATAATATCGATGCATTTTTTGAAAACTAATACCCCAAATTTGCACTCTTCAAGTGTTCATTTTTTATGGAAAACTTTATTTCATGGTCGGATTTTTTCACGTCAGTGCATTTACTATAATGCACTTTGACATTGCCGGATAACACAGCTTGTATTAAGTATAATCAAACCCCTTGATATTATAGACACTAAGATAAGTATAACCCTGTATTGGAGCTTAAATATTTTAAAACAGTCCTATTGTGTGTTTCAGGACTACTTCGAGGGGTTGATGGGCCTAAACTCATTATGCACTTGACGGGCATCCGGAAAATCGTGTAAGTATTCCTATTACTTTTTGCATATACATTTATGTCATGTGTATGTGTGTATCATTTCCATAATATTCGAAGACATACATAAACGGTCTCACACATTTAATCGCGTCTGACGGTTGCTAAACCCGGTTGAATTTATTAAAAGTAATCTCTTGGGTTTTTGCAAGAACGTCATTCTAAAGGTATTACAAAATAAACCAATTTTTTTTTTTTAATCTTGCTCAGCCTTAAGAGAGCGACCGTTTTTTTTATTTTTCATTTTGATTTTAATTGCAAGGCTAACATTACCTTTATTACAAACGGCAGTACTAAGAAAACCTATTAAATATAATTCATTAGTCTGTAGAATAAAACATAAAAAAAAAGTAAACAATAATCGGTGGAATTATTAGTAATATAGATAATATAAATTATAGTGAAACAACCGTATATACTTGGAATAGGCGAAACAGTAGTGATAGCTCTTATATAAAATAGTAAATTTACTAAATATGTTGGTCATTATTGCCTACACAAAGTGTGGGACAAGTCTGGTTGAGTCGCATCATAATAATCGACATTAGCATGCCAGTTTTCTCTTTAAGGTCTGACATTTTTTCACATAACTCTAATATTTCGTTAATCGTAAATAGCTATTCATAACACGTCTTATACTCAACACCCTACTTTTTCTCATCTCGCATACAGTATGCGTCTCGTTTCATACTATACCTTGTTTACTATATGGTATATACTAACGTTTTAAATTTATATCCGGATCAGCTATAAAACGTAATAGGGTATTTTTTTTTTTTATAAGAAATTCTCATTTTTTTTCTTGGTCGATATTAAACTGCATTACTTGACGATTTTACATAATTATAATATACTTCGGTTCATTTTTTTTGTACATTTTCTAACAAGCTATAATTAAATATACAGCTTATTTAAAATTAATAAAAATTTGATGGACTGTGAATTAAGTGAATTAATAAAGTAGGTATAAGCGAGATTAATTAAATATTAATTTGGAATTGGCTTTTAAATAATATAGAGCTTTGTCCTACCATTTTTTAAGTGATTGACAGTTTTTAACTGACAAGTTAAAATTTGACAAGTTTTATGTGAAATTTTAAATGATGTGTTTGTGTCATACAAACGATTTCGAATGAACAAGTCTATAAAACTACTAGAATAGCCAACAATTAGTTAATTAGTTAACTTATTAATATTGAACTAGTAAATTACTTAACATGATGTTTAAACGGCCATTGGCGTGCCACAGCTATTGGCGTTTACTGTTTATCGGTGACACCATATTATTGTTTACTATATAGAATACCTCCTTCTCGCTATATTACAGTGGATTCTATTTTCCCGTCGATTTAACTCGTTCCGCTGCAATGGTCGTGATCATTTTTCTCAATGATAGTTTTATGACTTCGGCCTGAACTATGAAAATTCGATTCCCAAAACTTATATTACTGTTTTTAGCTACAGCCGTTGTAACTTATTTCAATTACAACATATTTGGCGATAGCTATATTATTTTCAAAGTGCGCACAGACAATCGTTGTATATTATGATGTTCGTATCATTCACCAAAGTCAAGGTGAACTATTAAGACCATTATTAGATTATACTGTTTGGGCTGGTTATATTTTGATTAGTCCAAAATGAATTCGTATAGTGGCATTGCATGGATAAAAATTACTCAAATAGTTAATGATTTTATTAAGACCAAAAATAATGTACCTAGATCACTTAAATTGCATTACAAGTGCATTTAATTTAAAAAAAACTGTCGGTGAATAAACAATTTACTGGCCGCTCTCTTCATTCGCCTCCACTTTATTTCTGTTGTACATTTTTTTTCATTTGGTACAATAGTTCACAACAGCTACAAAGGATGTTTATTCGAGGCAGATTTACGCTTTTCTTTTTCTTTTTTTCTTTCTCTAACCATTGTAAACGGCCGTTGGGTAATAAAAGGCCGCGGTGGCTACTATCCGGTATGATCGTGCTAGGGCCGAGTACACCGAAATCATTTGCCCGACCAAAGTACACCGACAGAGACCGGAGAAGGGCGTTAACGTGAAGTACACTTGTATGTATACATATATAAACTGCACAATAAAACATGGAAACATGGTCCATAAAAACAACCGATAAATAGCATTAGAACAATACGTACAAATACATCACACGACCGCGTTTGGGTCTATATATTATAGAATTTAATGTATATATTATATACTACATTATTCATTATCGATCCAGTTGGTCACGTTGAAAAGAGAATCCGAGATTTACGACCGTTTCATAACGATGACGATACAATTATTTAATGTAACACATTAAATATTTGATCAAAAGTGCAATTCCTAATGTTTAATAATTGTGTTATATAATATATACATTTATATATAAATATATATATATATATATGTTATAGTATAAAAATTATTTCTTTTTATTAAAATACCATTGTCGACGTCAAGTAATGAATTAGTTTATAAGTTGCAAAACAAAACAAAAAATAAGAAGAAGAATATCCTAAAAGTTTGTTGTATATAGTTATGAATATTCAGGAATAAGCAGCAGTAATAATTATGTAATGCTATTGTGTTGTATAAAATATAAAACAATAGAAGTATTCAACCAGTTTCCACGAAAAAAATGTGATGAGGATAAAATAACTTCAAGACACTCAAATAGTTATCGGTTAATATTAATTATAAATTCGTATCAAAGTTTAAATCTTTTTAATCTACATATTAATTAGCCCGATGCACACCAATAAAGTTTATTTTGATTGTATATTAATAATAATATTCAAGAATAAATAGCTGTATATTTAAATTACTCACAAAAATCAATTTGAATATTTTAAATAGCATCTCTGTATTCGCTCGTTAAAATATATATACATGTATGTGTTGTATACTATTTTGTTGATTAAAGCGCTGGTGTATCTTATCTATCCTGCCTGGTGTTATGTTATTAGCTATCACAATAGAATAGTAGCAAACAAACTTTAAGCTCATTATTCTATTTTATCAGTAAATCTATTTTAACCGACTGTTTATTAATATGAAATAATACCTGCTTGGCTAAGGAAAAGTAGTAGGATATTTTTTAATTGTTTTTAACTAGGTCAGAAAAATTAGTAAGGGCGAGGTGAATAATTTAAATTAAAATATTTATTAAACGTAAACCATAAAACGTACAGGGTTTTCTATAAAAAAAAATAACTATATGTAAATGGAGACCCTCGTTGATTAAAAAGAACGGTGGCACACAAAAAATAATTCGAATGTACATTAATTTAACGGTTAAGTCCACACTGCAGTCGATGCATTAAAACATTACCATAACCCTTGTTATGGAATACGTTATACGAAGGTTCCTCGAGCTAATAAATGTATTAATTAAACGGGCCGTTATGTAAATTAAAAAAATAATAAATGTGAGATATTTGAACTGTCATTTTTATCACAACGTGGAGACCAAGTACGTCCTTGTTTTGCTAGAACACAATTTGATGTATTATATCCGACGGCGCATTGTATATGCAATTTTACTACACTGCCGTGTGTTTATTTTCTCAGCGACCAAGATAAGAGAGAATTTTTTTTTTGTTATGTTTTGCATTATATTTCATTTAAGATTTAATAAAGCATTTGACTTTTAACGGTTCCAACATAAAATATAGTGTCCCGTGATAATTATTGATCCACCTTCAATGAAACGATAATTACCATATTTTATGGTTTTATTTATTTTCTATTTTAGGCTTTAGCATAGTACGCAGTTACTATTCAACAATTATGATATATATATATATATATATGTGTATATATTTCCCGGTAAACCGTGCACAGCTTTTTGTAGGTGATCGAATCGCCAATTCACATAAATCGAATGCATTCGATTACCAACGTGTATGTACCTAAAACGTGCAGGGCTGTTACTCCTGGCCAACCATTCGGTCACGCTGTTGTTGTTTACGACTGGGCAATAACAATAATCTATTAATTCAGTCGATAAGCCATACAACAGGGGCGCGTGTTAGATAAACGGCTGACAGATGTTCTGCGGTCGCGTTCCTCGCCCTAGTTTTATTTTTTATCCAGAGAAAAGTGGTAAATTAAACAGCTGCATTAATGCGTTTTTTTTTTGTTCCAAAGTTCAAACTGAAGTGTCTATACAAATGCCATCTCCTATACGCTTTATACCGAAGAATTTCATTTATAACGTAGCGCATTATTCAATTATGATCTGCGCCATTATTTCTACGGGCCATTGTTATTAGGGTTTTGGTCAGAACCCGTTTTTAACATTTCCAAATAACTAATCAACCTAACGCTCAGCTCGCAATGGCACTATTCATATAATATTATGCGGCGTGCAAATAATAAAACAATTTATTCATTTCAACGTTTTAATAATAAACTATTCATTTTATAAACATGCAGTACACGTTTAATGCATATACATACAGTTGTTTTCATATATTTACCTATGACAAGCTCTTGCATGCCCAGGGACGATGATATGCAATACGTGATGACGGTTGTGCTATAGGAATATAACTGTGAAACTACATGCAAATTTTCATCAGTAAAACAAATAAATAATATTGTGTTTATACTTCAACCGTAAATCGGATCGGACAATTGTTTTTTCTTTTAAAAAATTAGTTGGTTTAATTAAGCGGACATTTTACTGAATATAAATTAGTACTGTAAATGAATAAAATTCAAGAGCTAAATATATTTGGTTCTCTGGTGTAATTTATTATTACAATTTTTGTTCTCTTCTCGGTTTTTCATATAACACCGGCCCGTGTTTACCTACTTAAAACGTTCAACTGTATGCCTACACCTTTGAATTTATAAACGTATTAAATATTTTAAAACTACCTATACAAATTTCATTCTGAGGTTTATTAACACATTCCGCAAAGACTAGAAGGTATTCGTTAACTATGCGCCTGTCAAACTAATGGGCTAAACGAA